TTATCTTAACTTAATAATTACTAGATTAATAATACAACATTATCAAGGAACTTAACAATCGTTAATACCACACAACCCTTTTTAAAGTATATTCCATAGATTCTGTAATGAAAGTATGGTTGTATGTTATAGAACTAGATCTACTAACTTGATTAAAGATTATTATTCCGTACACTGTATATGTTGGATAAAGCATAGTCTGTCCACTTTATACTTTTTCATAAAACACTAATATATGTCAACTATTCCAAATTATTTGTATAATGTAATAAAATAAATTTCATATAAGTACTTACTTACTTCTTGTTACCTTACAAAAAAAAATTGTATGTCACTTAATATTTAGTTGTATAATACAACTTATTAACATTGATATTCAATTTCATGAACTTATGACCCTGGGTCAATCACAAAACAAATCTAGATGTCCAAAGTTACTTATCAACTGGGTAATCCAATTGTGTACTTGTATCATACAAAATATTTTTAATCAATCAGAAATTATTTCTTAATCCTATATAAGATTCTGTATACTGCATTCAAAACACTTTATTGCATTGAATTGAATACCTGTATGTATTCATATTATATATTATGATATGTCACCAATATATAGAATTTATGGGCTACAATATTTTACTTATTATAATTTGGATATAAACATATTATAGTATCGTAAACTTAACCAGTTTATTTTTAATGATATTATTTAGTCTAAACATCAATTTATGTTGCTTTTAGAAGTAGCATCTATTTGAAATTTGAATATACTATAAATTTATAGTAAAATATGTCTTAGAAAGTTGAGAAACACTTGTCAAATAGAACACCTAAAGTGTTAGTGTTATTTAAATGCTTATATATAATTTTTATAACTTATGAGTGTTTACTATTTAAAAAAAAAATATTCATTCAAGCCTTTGTGAAATTCATTTTAAGTCAGTAGTAGAAAACAAAATAATTATAATTTTAAATAATGATTCAAATTGCATAAATGTATATAATTCTCTGTATTAATGTTTTTTAAACATTTAAACATAAAGTAGGTACCTTAATTTTTCAAAAAAAAAAAATATAATTAAATGCTATAGTTTGGTGGTAAAAATTTAGATACCTACTTAATATTTTTTTGTTTTGTTAGGTATAGTTGCTAATAATTAAAATAATATATTTCAGTTTTTTTTTTTTTTTTTTTTATCATAATTTTTTCTGTAATGTTTTTTTTTAAACATTTGTGGCTAGTTTAATATTTTGTTTTATTATTTCCAAAACAGTTTGTCATGACGATAAATTAAATATGTGAGTATCCTTGTTTATTTTTTCAATATTGAATATTTATGATATAATTGATGTGACTCAGTTAAACCCAATAAGTACTTAATTTTAACTCATTAAGTTATAATAATCAACCAAAAATAAATTGTATTTTTCTATGTTTATTGTTTATACAATATTAACTACACTTCTAATTTAGTTCTTCGAACAAAACAGATATGCCAAAACAAAAAACTACATTTAGTAACTATAAACTTAGAATAAAATCATACTACTATTTATATGAGATAAGTTAATTATAAACTTTAGTATTATTGTTTATACATCATACACAATTATTGAAATACATAATAGAAAATTATAAAACCTTTATTTTTCCCAGTAATTTGGTTAAGAAATTATTCCCTTAAGGAGTTTGGAAGTTAATAGTTAGATTGGTGAGTGTGATTATATAAAACTAGAGTTGCAGCCAAACAAAAATGCAGTTGGTGACTCTGCACGTGAATAATAGTAACTCCATATTTTAGTAATATACAAAGAGCAATAGCACAAGAAGTTTTAGTCTTAAATAGTATCGTTAAATGAATAGCGCTAATAAGTATTTTAATAACTAAAAGTCCTATGTTGAGTAAAAATGGTAAAATAATGAGTAAAATTATTGTACGCCTCTATTGTATTTTACTCTTAAAATTGTATTCTATGATATACACAGAAATTGGTAAATGTAATTTTTAAATGAAGATATTAAAAATAATTTAATTTAATTTCAATATTTAAAAATTAACTTTTAATTTTATTATTTTTTAGGTGGCAATAGCCACAATAACCAGTATACCAGAAAAATTGAAACTTTCAGACAACAACCGCCGCCGCCACCACCACAAAAACAACAACCATCACCACAAATACAACAATCACCACCACAGGTACAACAACCACCACCACAGATACAACAACCACCACCACAGATACAGCAACCACCACCACAGCAGCAAACAATGTCACAAGTGACAAATTGTGTATCAACACCAGTAAGCTTGTTATTTTTAAATAAGTTTTAATTACATCATCAATATTTATTATTTTTTTTAAGTATATATTTATTGATTAAAAATGAGCAATATAAAAAAAAAAAAAATTACACAAATCACTTGTTATGATTATTGAAATAAATGTTAGACCAATAATTATACTTAATGAAGAATATTCTCATCAATAAATAACATTTTACTCTTTGATAGCAATATTTAGAAAATAATTTAAAAGATAATCAGTAGTTAGTAGTTACTAACCATAATAGTATTAAGAATTGATAAATTGCTTCTTGCCTATTGTTGAATAATTGAGTCTTCCAAAAACTGCCATAATGTTTTTTTTTTATTAATTCATTTAATTTATATACATTGACTCACTATATTTTTATTTATTGAACTTAAATATTCTTAATATAGTCTTAAGTACTAAAGTACTAAATGATTATTAAAATTGAAATTTATGTTTTTATTATTATAATTATTTATGAATAATTATCCTATTTATTTATTTTTTTTAGCATTAAAAATGGCCTTTATAATAATAATATTAATATAATAACTAAATTGTCTTCCATTTTCAGAAAACAGCTAATCCAATGAAAAATCAACAACATCCTATGCCCTTACAGGATTTACCACCTCAACTACATTGTCCCAAACCAGAGGCTGAAACTCAAGTACCAACTACTGTGGTTACTCAATCATCTACAGTACAGGATCATCAGGTACATAGTTATATATTTAACATTTAACCAATTCTATAGTCACATATTTATATTTATATATATTAAGTTAATTTAATATGACACCAAACCATAATATATGTATATTGATTTAAAAACTAATTATTTTAACATTTCAAAAGAACATGTCTATGTATTCTGACAGATTTTGAGTGTCCCGCATATTTTAAACTTATAGTACATCTATTTCAGAGTGGTTTCAGTCGTAGTGCAGATTTGATCAATCCATATCATTTTTGGATTAAAGGTTGCAAATATTATTCCTGGGGCGTCTCGCATAAACGTGAGACAGCTAAGCTTAAAATATGTTGCGGTGTTGTAAATTCAGTGTGGTTGAAGCTATTACTTGTTGCCAATAACACATATCATTTTCATTTAAATATTGATGTAATGAATAATTTGAAAGAAAATACAATTTGAATAATTAATTCTATTTTTAAATTATTTTAAAATTTCAATGTATTCTGATTGGCAACTAGTAAACCCAACCATTAATTTGATGCCATATTTATTATATTATCTGACCAGTAGGATTCTGCAAATCTACACAAATGTTGTGTTTATTTACAGTCCGAGTCAGTGATATTTTGTCATCATTTATGATGGATGGTGTCATAGCTTTTTTGTAACTACATAAACCTTGGCAGATTAAACACTGTTCTCTTATAATAAGAATAATAATAATGACAATATTTATTAGAATAATGAAAATATTATCATTATTACTATTTTTATTTATACTAAATCGTTTTGATGTATTATCTGCTGAAGTATATGTGTCTGCGCAAACTGAAAATACTTCTTCGCCGCGTTTATAAAAATTGCTTATGTTGTCTCATTGGCTATATAGAACAAACAGATAAAAGTTGAAGATGAAAAACCAAAAAATGAGAAGTCTGAAGTAAAATGGCCAGTCAAACGTAGTATGTCAATGCTTTTTAAATTAAATTATTGTAATTTTTGTTAATTGATTGTTTTAATTAAATTAAATTAATTTTTTTTAATAGAAATTAGCAAGAAAGAACGTAAAAAGCGACTAAATGCTAGAATGCGTCGTTTAGTATCTCCTAAAAGTCCATTGATGGTATTTTCTGAATTGTTCAAAGATGTACCAATTCACTTACAAGAGCACCCACTTCATAATGTTATGAGTTACACTGCTACACTTGAGGTATGATATAATTGAATTAGAAAACTTGATTTCATTTCTCGTAAAATAATATAATGATTAATAATTATATTTAAAAAAAAATATATGTATATAGATTGATGGTCAAATTTATTCTGCAAATCATATTTCTAAGACTCAAGCCAAACAAAAGGCATGTGAAAACTTCTTGCGCATTATGTTGGCAAAAAAAATAAGTGAACGATCTGGTAATTAAAAGTGTTGATGTTGTTAACTTTTAATATTCTTGTATTATATACATGTAAATATATAAATTAGAAAAAAAAGAAGAATCTCCCATGCAGGTTGATATGGAAGTTGGAGAAAATAGTTCAGTGTCAAAACCTAAAGGACCCCCACAAGAGGATTTTCCTTGGCCACATTTTGCTTCATTAGCTATGCATAACTTAATAAATCAATGGGAGCTACAACCTGTTGTTACAAAAGCTAATTATGTACATGAAGAACCAAATGTCATCAAATCACAACCTAAGGTGAATAATCGTTATTTACAATTTGCAATACATTTTAAACAGTAATTAATACAAACTGATTGATTTTGAATTTGTTGGAATAAAAAATCATATGATTTGGTTATGTTAAAATAAGGGTTTATACGTCAACTTGGCAGAATTTTTATTTATTTTTTAAAATTATTATTATTAAAATATTAGTTTTACCATTGGTTTTATAATATTTGTAATACATACAGTTCTAAGAATGTTGTTTTTGTAGTCTTTTTCCAGGATATATTTATTATCTATATCGTAAGAATAATTTTGATTTTCGTTGCAACCTAAATTATTATCTATTTTAACTTTCAATCTTTGGTTTTTGGGATATTAATAAAAAAAACTTATAACATTTTTGTTCACATTATTTTTTAATGACTTAATAAATATACATTAAAGAGTATACCTTTTTATACTACTACTATACTTCTACTACTTTTACCAAGGAATAAGATAATTTAATAAAATAGTCAATAGGGGATTTACACTCTAAAACAATTCAATTAATGTATTATAATATTACAAAGTCAGAGGTTATACTTATATTAGTATGTTAAAATATATAAAGCAGTTAAAGTATATTATTTTCCATTTAAATATATCATGACATTATTAGACTATAAAAAAATAGTTTTGATGCATTTACTAAAACTGATTAAAGATTGAACATTTAACAACAAATATGCATTATCTCTAAAGTACTCTTATTCTCTTTATTAACCATGTGTAATAACAATTTGAATTCAAATTCAATTTTGTATTTTGTTATCTTTGACTTTTAAATTTATACACTCAACATATTATGTTATGACTGTTTAACCTAATCTCTTTTATTTTAGACTGGTGCTATGAGAAAGTTTCCTGAAAACCCGAAAAATTGTAATCCAATACAGTTAATAAATCAAATGAAACCCGGTGTACAATTTGTTGAAACTATAATGAGTTTAAAAACTCCATCACTTTTTCAAGTGAGCTGTGTGATAGATGATGTTCCATTTTCTGGACAAGGTAATAGTCTTTGTAACATTATATTAAATTATATGTTTTATCTGAAAAAAGATTTCAGAGTTCTATTTAATACTAAACTCTGATGTAGTATATGATTTTTTTATAAAATTATTTTACTTTATAAAACACAAATAAAAATTCAATACTTTTTTTAATGATAAATTTTGATAAAATAAAGTTTATCCATGTAGAAATGTACACAAAAAATTTTGGTTGGATTAGTAGGTATTTATATTAAAACAATTTTCAGTTAGTTTATTGCTATTGATTTATGTTTTATAGGTTCAACAAAAAAGGCAGCTAAAAAGGAATGTTGTATTGAAGCAATCAAATATTTTTGGCAATTTGATTTCCGTGCGAATAATTAATTTAAGAAATTAAAATTTTGTTTATAATAATATATTTTTGTGTGCTAGATATTTTTATTAGTCAACTATATTTATTTTCTTATTGATTAGAATACTTATGATTTATAAGGTTACTATTGGATGGACCTAGTATCAACTATTAATTTTAATATTTATTTATATTTTTATTTTTTTTTCATTATAAAATCATCGAGTTAAATAATATAATTAATGTATAATGGATTAGAACCTCCATACCTCCGTAATCCTGAAGTTATTTAAACCTTAAATAGGTAGGTTATTTATATATATATAGTAAAATATTAATATACTTAGGAGAAAAAAAGTAAAAAATTAATACAAATTACCATTTTGTTGTGGTTATAGACTTGAGTATCAATTCTCTAGACAATAACTGCCCTTGATGATTGAATGTCAAAATTTTTATAACTTTGTTTTATTAATTTACTTAACACAAATAATTTTTCACCACAAAATTCTAGAACTGTCACCCTGTGCCTAAAGAAGAGATTGGTAAAAATCGCTCACTTGTTTACACTATTTCCAAAAACTAATTTTAAATAGCTTTTTGATCTAATAATTTAACTCTTAATGATAAGTTACAAAAATATTATTATTATTTTTATTCATTAGAATTGGCTATTTAGTATTGTGCAGTTGATTAATATTTCACCTTTAAGTAGAATATAATATAATGTGTAATAATATATTTAATAATTTTGCAAATTATATTTAGTATGTATATTTCTTAAATAATATTTTTTTGATTTAATATAATTAAGTACACCAATGATCCTAAAATAATTTAATAACATTGTCTTAGAGTTTCTCTAATTGCTGAGAACTTATGTTTTATTGTTAATAATATTATGTTTCTGTTACATCACATTTATAAGTTGCTCTTGCTCTTTAGGCAGTGTGTTAGGCTTACCTACAAAATTTGATTTGACATATAGAACTGGATATCGCAATTAAATGTTGAAACACTTTGAAGTACTTATTTAAAGTAGTAAAAAACAAATTAATAAATTAATAATTGCTGTACTAAAAAATAACCATTTTACTATAATATTATTACTCAATAGTTAATTATCTCTTAAATTATCATTTAACTTATAGTCTGTACTTGATGGCTGGGTAATAAAATCAAACTATACATTACCAGAATATTATTAATATTATAAAGAAATTTTTTTATTTTAAATTGATATTTTGAAGAAAAAAACTCATTATATTATTTAATTTATTCTCAGTTTAAAACGTTAAATAAAATATAACACATTTTACAGTTTAATTTTAAGTTTTATAGCAGTTCAAAAATCAAAAATAGCCAGTAGCCAAAATTACCAGGATTCAAAACAGAAAACTATAAAAAAATTGAATTTGATCTAAAATTTAGATCCAAATTATTTATTAGACTAAATAAGTATTTTAATTCAAAGGATTTTAAAATAAGTATACATCCTATGTTTTAAGTAATTATTAACATGTTTCATAATTTTTTTCAACAGTTTAATCATTATTTTTATGAGTACTGCTCTACTCAAGGTTATACTAAATGTTAGATATTGATGGATATTTGAACTCATGATTTATGTGCCAATAATAGATTAGTCATGTACGAGTGCCTAAATTTTAATATTGTTAAAATAACTTCTATAGTTTTTATTCTTATTCTAACCCTATTTATTTTGTTGTCGTTACAGGAAATACTTAAAACTTTTAAAACATTTTATTTCTCAAAAAATATTCATTTTTTTTTTTTTTGTAGAAATCATATGTATTGCATGATTGAAAATGTAGATGTAGATCAAGCATGCCGAGCTCGGCGGGTCCTGTGACATATTTTTATGAGGCCGAAATCAAAAAAGTTATAAAAACAATAAACATATAACCGTAGAATTTAAGTTTATATTTTCATAGCATTACAAATGTTGAAAGTTTTCATTTGAAAATTGGAATTTCGAATAAATTATCTAATATTATTACCCATATTATTATGTTGAATGTTGATAGTTATCGTAAATATTGTACTTCGTACTGCACATAGCTTTTATAACATTCATCAATAAATTTATAATACCTATACCTAGTCTTTTAGTATTCCGACAAACCCTCGGGCGTTCGAAAGCATATTTTATTTTGTGTTTAATTGTTAAATACGCGTAGGTACTTAAATTTGTAAATTTACGGTTAAATAATTATATGCCGTCTGTCAAAGTCAAGTACCTAGTAATAAACGAAAAATTATTGATTAACGCTCAACTTCTCAACGAGGATGGGAATTGCGATAATATTTGTATGACGATAAAACAATTTTCAATTTACCTATTAAACCTTTATTTATTTATTTTTTTTTTTTTTTATACAAAACAATTGAACAATCGTTAGGTACGGGTTAAAGGTTATTACATAATATAAACAATTTATTCAAAAAATAACATTATTGTTGTTTGCTTATAATATTATGTTGTTCAAAAATTTAACCATTTAACGTAAATACTAATTATTATAATATCTCATTTTAAATCTCCACCCAACAGCAGCTGGCTAATGCGTTTATAAGTGTGATGAGTGTCATAGGTACCCAGAATATCTCTTTCGCCACACCGAAATCTCTTGAGAAATACCAATTACCAGCAAGCCCGGATTAAGGATTGATTGGGCCCCAGGACACCATAAACTCAGTGACCCCCCTTTCAATTTTAACTTCAAAAAAATTGTATTACTAATAATCTTGTACAGAACAAATATATATATATATTAGGCTAAATATTACACATGTATATTGTATATATTATTATACCTATATAGGTAAAAATTAAATTTGTTAAAAAGAATAATATTTTTAATTTTTTTTCTTGGTTTTTCTCTTGCAAATTGTTGAATAATTTCATCGAAATCGATCAATTGCAAAATATAATTTTCTAAATCTAATATCGTTATTATAACGATGTTAAATTTTCGTTAGTCTGTGACTTGTTCTATATTTATTTTTTATTCTTGTTGATGGTTTGGAAAATGCTCTTTCGGTCGAACAATTATTTTTATTGGGTATATAATATGATGGGTACCTACCACTTATGCAATATATTAGAATAACAATTTAATATTCATTATCATTTATTAATTTTCGTAATATAAAATTGAGAACATTTTTATTTTATATTTATTGATTATCTACTATTGGTGAATTAATTGGGATATCAGCGCACTGTATGTTTTCTCTTTCAGGCCCATGCGTAACATAGGCAAAAGGCATTTAAACAAAATCTTTTATACATATATATATAGGTATATATTTTTGTGTAGCCGTGTAGGTATAATCATAGAGTAAAAACACGCATTACAAAAATTATAGAAAATAATATTTTTGAGAATTTAACCTATCGGTTTTATATTTTATTATTATTCGACTTGGTAGGTATTCAACTTTTAAAATAAAAAAAAAAAAATAAATAAATTTAATTTATGCTTAAAATTGTTTTAAGACAATATTTAGGCAAATGGATATGTCATACTCTCTAAAATATTATTGACTTTAAGTTTTGTTATGGGTGATTTTACACAAAAACATAGAAAAATAAATAATACTCAGCGTAAACGCGTTTTATCCATGTTACGCTCGTGGCTCAGAGAGAGAAAGAAAACTGTGCGTTGATATCCTCTAACCTGATGTAACACTTCAGTTGAACCCAGATGTAAATGTGGATGAATGATGTACTTCGTTCAGTTACGTATTGCTCGTAATGATGATTTAATAATTTAAAATTACGAGAGTAAGTCCTGAAACATTTGATTACTTTTGAATATAATTTCTGAAGAATTCAGTAAAGCTGATACTCAACTTCAGAAAGTATCAAACCGATTGAAATTATTAGATATTTATTGGTAAGTAAATTTAATTAATTAGGTATCAATTCAGCTTAGAGGAAAAATAATTTTTGTAGACTAGTATATAGGTACCTATTACCACCTTTATTTTAATGTAATAATCTAAATTATAATTTTATATTATTACTATGAAATATATTCAACTTATTTATTTTTAATTATTATATACATCACTTAAAAATTTATTTATATGAGTTCTGATATGAGTTTGAACCCGAAGATAAAAATTCTGGATCTTTGAGAAAGAAACCGTGTAGTTTGAGACGTGTTTGGTTTAATGTTGAGGCTGAATTAGTATACTAAGGTTTATTTCGTACATTGTTTGGGATATGATAATGTCGAAAAGTTATCTGTATATATCGATGTTACAGAAGATGAAAGTTTCTGTTCATCAGTAGTTGATCACTACTCAAAATGCGTTTAAATCACGCTGGTTTTCGTTTTAAACTTTTAAAATCTGGTACTAAACTTTTAAAAATAATAATTCTGGTGGATCTTCAATTTGGATTGATTTTGGGTAGTTTTGATTTTTAAAGAGCTGATCATTGGTTCTGCAATCATCTCCGCGCTGAACCTTTAATTTTTGGTTTCTAAACTCGTGTAACGAACTGTTCCACTATCTATTTC